TACCAAATTCCATCCAAGCTACATATGTTGAATGGGAGTGTCAAATCGCAATGTTTGTTCACATGTAACAAAGCACAATAGTTTGGAATTTGGTGTTGTCTTTCATACAATATCATTAATCCTCTCAGAATAATAAAACTATATTTTGAAGGAAGTAAGATTTTTTTTTTTTTTTTTTTTTATTTTTTATTTTTTAGACGATATTAAAATAGTTAAATAAATGCTTGAAGGAAAGTGATACGGGTGCACCGCAATTGTTATTTAGTACTGGAGAATAATTAGCTAAAACAATAAATACTTTTTCCAATTTGGTGATGCTACCACTGCACACTACAAATGCCATAATGCCACTACACAACTAATGTTGAATAGAATGTACTTGTAATAAATACTCTAGTCCATGCTAAATAACAATTACAGTGCAGTAGAAGACATCATAGTAATAATGTATTATAAATATATTGTATTGTCTTAGAAGCTAAGAGTAGAAGATTTGAAACCTGAGAAAGAAAAATTTTCTTGTAAATCTTTATGGTCACCAGATAAGTTGGTATAGTTCTAGATTGCTGACTTGGGCAATTGCAATGCTCTCTATTCTAATCTATCAATAATATTGTATTAGGTAGATGTACCTAAATCCAGCCAATTATATGTAAACGAATATAAAAATCTATGAAGAATATTTTTTGAGATAGAAAGATAGAATTTATAAAGAATTTTTTTTAATACTTTCTTATCCAAAATTATAATTTATTTAATTTTCAAAGTAAAAAGTAAATCACACTCCACTACATTAATTATTCCCATTAGTTTTGAATATAAAATAGATGAATACTTCATTAGTATTCCTCCTACTAATAAATCTTTTTACTTGAAATGTTGTTGCTATAGATGTCAGTCAACTATAGTGGCTATTTAGTTTGTACATGGATTGTATTTTGATAGTCTATTTATACTTCTAGGAAACTAGGTTGAAGATTTGATCGATATTAATTTGATGAGTTTTAATATTTTAATATTTATTTTACTAGCTATACTTAAAAATGTACTCCATCTTCATTCTTCAAAAATTAATCTATAATTTATTTAGGAAAATGCTAAATCCTAGTATCTCCACCTTCCTAGTTATTATTCTTTAGAAAATTAGTATCAAAGAAAGTGAGGCAGTAATTCTTCACAATCTCAATTAGAATCAAAAGTATAATATAGTGGTCAAGTCACTAAGTAGAAAAAATGACATGTAATGACATATAGGCAAGGTTTTTCCTAACATAGAAAATATCATAAATTGCACTATAAAATGTCCACCATTAAAAACATCATAGAAGTTGGCATGGAAGCCCCTGCTTGGTTCTTCCAATTGAGTCTCCTAATTGATCCTTGTTTGATTGTTTATTTATTTTTTTCATGGTTATAATTTTTTTTCCCCCTTTGAAATACTATACTTTACATTCCAATGCAAGAAACAAACCGAATAATAAACCACATAGGACAAAGCCTTCCAATAAGGATTTTTACATTTTAATAAAAAGTGTACCTATAGAAAACTTCCAACTTTAGAAAATTCTATGATGAAATTCTAAATCATGGTTTTTCTTTTCTTCTCCCTAAAGAATTTTATTCTACATCATTCCGGTTCAAATCTAATAAGATATTTCATTACTATTTCTAGTTATTTCTTAATTAACTTCTTGATGTGCATTGAGAAAGCACAACCATGATGAATGATTTCTTCCAAAAGCATTCTTTCAACCCTCGATGTGGCCTAGGAATCATTATTAAAGCAAATTGCATTCCTGTTTAATCAAATGGGCCAATAAACTAAACCTTTTATCAAGTACCAAAGCAATTTTTTTTTTTTTTTTTTTTTTTTTTTTTTCTTTTTCTTTATTGAGCTAAATATTACCAAATTGCTACAAAATAAAAATAACTACTATATGTACAAAGAAAAACTAAGAAAGAAAAATTAAAAATTAGCCTAAATATTTTTTTAGATTGTAAGTATATGTAAAGGACAAGAACTTGATAAAAATAAATAAACAAGTGAGACTTCTCTCAAAGAAAGATGAAAAAATAGAAATAACTCAATATGTATGTTAAGAAAGAAACTGGAATGGCTATTATCAAAAGACAAGAAAACTAGAGATCCTTGAAACTAGAATAAAAGCAAGAAAAAAATTGACAAGAGTGAAGAAGGCTTCACTCTTGTTTCTATATATACTATCTAACTAGGGGCTATGTGGCAATTTCCTATATGACCTCCAATATATGTTGATTTTGTAAGACACATGCCTTCACTTAGAAGGCAAGTTTTTCTATATATAGACCACATAGTTAGCTTGGTCTTCAAGCTAACAACATGTGTGGCACATGACCAACTTGCTGACCATATTTCTAATCCAAAAAGTCAATTAAAGACACCTATAAAGTCAAAGCAATGTCTATGATGCTTCTAGAAAGCTTCTATAGCAGATATTATAGAATTAATTTACTTTTACCTACTCTTACCTACTTCTATTTATTTATATATGTAATTGCTAGATTACATGCATATGTCCATGATTGTGTATAGCCACTTTGGATACTGATAAGTAAGGATATCATGTAGGTATTTTCAAGGGCATTTCTAAGTATCAAAGGTCGTATGTGACATTTCTTGTGCTCAATCACTTACTTACATCTTTTTAAATCTAGGGAGAGGTACTAGATCTGATATATATATATATATATATATATATATATTTTTTTTTTGAAAAAAAAAATTCTAGATTAGAAGATTTTGGAGTCTTAGAGTGGAGATTTTGGATTCACTACTGTTTAGTTCTTATAGGGGAGGGAGAGGGGGGAGGGAGAATTATAGGTCATCCTACTTTAGTCTGTTGTCATATGACATGATTTGCTATGTGGGAATACATTGAGTATCTAGTTGTAGAGATTTTAGCTTAAACCTTTATATGAATCTTATCTTAGCTTCCAAAACTCCTTTAATTTGCATAAAACTCAAAATATAATAAAATCCCTTCAAAATATATTTTTCTCGCGAAGGATTTTTTCATCTCAAACTTTAGAAATTCATAACTCTTGATCTAGCCATTCAATTCGTTTCAAATTTATAAGATAGGTAGAATTCACCCTTAAATTTTACCATAAAAAAACCAACTGCAAATTCACTCTTGATCTTTTGGCATCTAAGAAACCCTAGCAGACACTCTAAATCCTAATTTACAAGCACTCGAGCACTATTTTCTTAATATCTCAAGAACTCAATATTCAAATATCATTAAACTTATGTAAAAAGTTTATCAACATGAATTTATACATTTTGTAAAATTTTGAACCAAAATCTTATCAAATTGCTCAAGATATAGCTCAAGAAACAACCACTAGTAAATCGGATAACTTACTACCCTTAGATAGCATAGGCTGACTTTAAAATCCAATATCTCCTTCATTTCAACTTGGAATTCAGCAAACAATGTACAAAAAGTGTAGCCGGAAAAGTGTTCTTTCTAGTCGCAGTCACCAATCTTCAATTGCCTTCCGTACACGTGCGTTATACCAAAAAGAGTGACAATAGCTCCCAAATCAATACCTTAACTTTGAGCACCTATATCTCTTTCATATAAACTCCAAATCATACAATATTTGCACCAAAACCGTAGCCAAAAACTTAAACTTGCTGATCCTACCCTTCAAAGCTCAAATGGGCCCGAAAAACTAACCCTAATATCTAATATGGCCTCAGGCAACCTCTTCAAAGCCTATTGGTCATGATTTTTGACCAATAGGAATGGAGATTTTCATCATCCATCACCATTCATCTATGTGGATGCCCTAAACTCTCTTTGCTACTAAAACCCTTCTTCAACCCTTTTTCTTATAGGATTTACATAATTTATGCTCTAAACACCAAATAAGAGAACCTAAATAAGTTTTCGAAGATCACCAATGTCTTTTCTTGTTAATGAAGAAATACTTCTAAGATCTTGTTGGCACCTCCTACACTACTTTTGTAAATAGAAGGGATACAAGGGATGAAGGAGGTGATTAAATCTTCCTACTACTAGAAAAATATTATCAACAAGAATTTTACAAGACAAAAAGTAATGGCATAAGGAGTAGAAGAGGTGATGAAATTCTCCTACTATTAAAGAAATACCCTCAATAAGAAAATTTACTAGCAAGAGGAGTGATGATCCTTGTAAATGAACTCTTCTTAAAAAATCTAACTCCTTGGCTACTTCAAGATTGCATTCCACTTGATAATCCTATACACAAATACCAATCAACAAAACAAAACTACTTGCATTCCAAACAATTAAAACCATCTTACTTCCAACAAATGTACCAAAATGTGAAGTAAAATAAATCCCCACTAATTGAGAGTCTATTAAAAATCACAAAAATTTAATTATCTAAATTTTCTAATAAGTTTCTATTATAATTTGATTAAATATCCAACAACTCCAAAAAAATCCCAATCATGATTAATCTAAATTCCTTTCACATGTAATCTATTCCAATTAATTAATATTAATTAGCTTGTGATCTAATTGATTAATTTGCCTCCTATTTTGTTTAATTCTTCCATTCTCTACTAAATAAATTAATCTTCAACCTCCACAACAACAATAAAACAAATCCTTTAATAACACAAGGCACTCAAATAACTCAACAAAAACTCACACTTGAATGATAATTTTTTTATCTGATTTGATTAAAATCTGTTTTAATTTTTTTATTTTAGTTTTTATCTAGTACTAATTATCATCCAAAATTCAAAATTCACATTAATAAAGTAATTAGATCCTAATTTATTTGTAGATCAGAGCTGACAATGCTTCAGCATTTGATTTGACAACCACGAGTTATACAACACTGGTAGGCAGTTACTCCAAGTACCAGAATTAAGATCTTGTTGTTTTCACTTCCTCTGCAATCGATTTGAAAATCAGAAGTTCAGTTTGAATGTGCAGATCAAGCCATTCCCTTGCACCAGGTTCAAGCCAAGCTCTAGATTCTGAACAAAGTGGATATTAATGATCTGCAAGAGGCGTCGATTACAAGTTTTTGAAGTTTCAAGAACGCACAACATCAAGTAAAACTTGTACTTGATTTGTTGACAAGAATAGGAATGTCGATCGCTATGCACCCTCACTCCACCATCATTGACAAAGAATGACGAGTATGATTGAGCTGGCTACAGTCTTCCTAATGAGATCCCTCTCTACGCACCGAATAAGGTTACATTCCAGCATTCACGTGGCAACAATAACTAGAAGGAGAGCACAAAAAATAAATAAATAATTATAACAACCATGACGACACTGTCGTTGCAAGAACTAACGATAAAGGAGAACAACTCCATCACCGCAACGTCTTGCAAAGCGCCATTGGTCACACATTCTAATCCGCACCATGAAGATTCACACTACCACTCGCTAATTACAGCTCATCACTTCTTTGCCAATAGCATAGCACAGCTCTTTGCATGCAACATCTCCACCACTAGATAATTGTCACGCAACTTGTTCCACGCTGCCGCAAGAGTCCAATGGGAGAAGCAGGAACCTCCGGCCAAACACGGCCAATACCCTCGACCGCCACAATCAACTAATACTACGTTAGCAGCAGCACATATGTACGGAAAAACATCACAAGTGTCCCTTTTTTTTTCTTCTTCCCAGACACTGATTTGATCTTGACCACCACAAACTAACAAGAGAAGTTGATAATGACTGCAATCAGATTAGAGGCACATATAATAGAAATAGAGCGCAAACCACCGCATTAGGTGCTCACAAGCACCGTCGACAGAGCCCAAATGCCAACTTCACCAAGATCAGCAGGAAAAACTAAGAATTCCACTGATTCGCCGCATGGTCGCTCTCTGCACATCGTGCAAGAACGAGAATAAAGAATTCAGTAACTCAACCGCCGCCGAACTCAAACCACCACAGGAATCACAACAAGGGAACCAAATCCACAAATTCCGCTCGTCGCCACACTAGATTGAGGGAACTTCTATCCGCCTAATACAAAGTTATTCCGTAACATAAAACGTTAAATAAGCAAAAAAACTGATCACCACAGTCACCGCACCTCCGCCACACTTTGGAGCTCCACACTAACCACAACCCGAACAAGTAGCTGCGCCACAGCACCTCAATAGACGCGGATACAGCCCCACCATCGCCGAAGATGAGCAACTTCCACAACCGGAATCGTAGCGGAATTTTTGCAAAAGACTTACTTAGTCGCTTCATCCTATTAATTACTATTTATCTCAAAATTTCTATATTAACTCCCTAAACTAATTACTTTAATGACCATAAGTACATTTTTTGCATTTAAATCCACAAGTGAGTCAATTGCATGACTCACTCCTTTCATGTTCCATTTTGTTTAGTCATGTTTTGTTTTGTTCAGTTTTGTCCTGGTCTACTCTATTCTTCTTTGTGATGGGATTTATATTACTATAAATTGGAATTGTTTTAGAACTTAGAGAGAGTTCAATCTTGTTTCAATTCATATCATAAACAAATTGTAAGCATTCACACAAACTTGTAAAAAGTTTCTTTATTAGAAGAACTTATTCTTGCCTAGTCAACCTTTTTTAAAGAAGAAACCTATCTTATATAACTTATTAGGTACTCCATACACCTACACTATACCTCTTATTATCAAACAATCACCTTCTAGTAGTTTATTATTTGGAGTACATTGAGATGTAAATGGATGTTATTAGAGCAAAAAGAATTGTATTTGATAGAGTTATACTTATTCTACCTTCAAATGTAGTAATATATATACTTTAAGTTAGATTTTGAGGTTCTTTATATTTTTTTGTCAATGGAGTAAACACTTTGATGGATAAATTATATTTTCTTTAATTTTTAATAATTTTTTTTTAACCTTAAAACTTTTTGTCGAACTAAACATTGTCATTTTAATTTAATATTTTATCAAATTGTTCTTATATAAGCAAACGTCCTATCTTTTAATTCAAGAAAATATTTTAAAAAATTATTAATTGTGATTTAATTTAATTTAATATTTTTATATTATTTAAATTAAAAACTTTAAAAAATATTATATTATATTTTAGTTCTTTAATGTTATTTTAATGTATTATTCTTTATTTATTTTATTTTTTAGACATAAGTTGTACATAAGTTATTTTAATGTATTATTTGTATATAACATGGTACAAAATACCATTTTTAGACTTTATGTTAGTGTATTCTTCTTAAAGTAATTATATTTTCAGTCATCAAGGATTGTAACTAAATATTCTTGATCATTTCTCAAGTTTCTCAAATATTTGCACTATAAGAAATTTCGTTTCTAAAAAAATAATTTAATTTCCAGTTTTTTACGTTATAGCCCTATTTCGAAATTATTTTGTTGTTAAATATTTTTTCCCAATTTTCTACATTCCTTTTAATTACATAAAATAAAACAGGCCCTATACATCATTATGCTGTATGTAATTTTAACTATTCTTTTAGCTTCTTCTTTTTATATTTTATATTTTAAAAATATTTTTTTGTAATATAATGTTAAATACGACATGAATTTTTACCTTTAATGATAGAGAATTTAGTTATAAATTTAGAAGGTCTTTATACTTAGAAGAAAAGGTGAAAAGCCACAACTTTCAAAGTTTAGGATTGGTTGATATTAAAAAGCCTCCATTAGTTGGCTTTATACCTAGGAAAATCAAGTGAAACATTGTGCTTTATATTTCAAGGTTAGTTGATTGATAAAAGCCAATAACATAAGATATTAGGAAAAATACTAGGTATAAGAATTACTAATCATCAAGGTCATACACAAGGCCTAAGAAATAACTAGTTATCAAAGAGATTGCAAACAACACTCAATACCTATTGATGCATTTCTTTTTTATTAATTAAAAACTTGGCCAGCATTGGTGATCAAAACTTTGTTAGTAAGGGTCAATAAGTGATCTTCAAATATTGTTATACTTCATAATCTGAAAAAAAAAAATAGACATTCTAAGACTATACTTAAATCTTGTTAAGTTGATTTTCAAGCAACCACATCATAAAATATTGAATACACCTAGACCATAGGGTCAAATAGTAGAGGCTTAGAATTTTGTTAATTATAAATTTATTGATATCTTTTAAGAAAAAACAATAATCTTTGTATACTATCTACAATTTGCCATGAAAAATAAAATGGAGGCTATTCCTTGAAAATATCATATATAACATCAAAAATTTAATTTATGATGAAATAAACTCTATTAAATAAGATGTACAAGATGATGAACAAAAAAATAAATTGTAATGACATGAAACATAAGATATCCACTTGTGAAAAAAGATTCAAAAATTACAAAGAAAACCAAATGATAAAGACCATAAAATTCAAACTACATGCAAAATATAAGGCAGAGGTCAAGTCTCTATTAAATGTCACAATTGAATGAAAGCCACCTAGATGATTTATAGTATACAAATTGATTATGTATTGATAACTACTAGCAAATATATCAAATATAATATATAGACTATATCAATAATTTGTTCTTAATTATTATTTAGTAGTAAGTGTATCTACATGGTCAGTATTAAACATGTCTAATGTTTACTTTTACAAGAGAAATTCTAGGATAAAGAGTTAGGTGAAATAGTAAGCTGACAATGAAGTCAAATGGTATCATATAGATATCATTGACTACTATATCCAATGCCAATAAAAGGAAGAAGTAAGCTTGCATATAAGCCAAACAACTACATATCAATGTAAATCATGGTTATAATTGTACATCATATACAATTGTACATCATATACAATTGTAATTATAAAGATAAATTGAGTCATCAAAAACTTACTCATGTAAGATTGAGTCAAATTATTCTTCCAAAATAGGTTGCTCTTATTAATAGTAATTGAGAAGAATGTAAATACTTTAAGTTTAAATAACATAATTGTATACAAAATATCAATGCATATTATGTAATATCAATAATGTGATAATTACAACTATCTAATTGATTTTCAAAACCTATTTTTATCCTAGATCTTTATATTAGAATGTAGAATTCATTTAGCATGAACAAAAACTAACTTAATACTATGCAGTTTAGTATAGCCTTAATAGTAATTACAATAATCAATGCAAAAGTTATTTTCTTATTTTTTCTATTATTATTTATATTCTAATGATATAAAAATTAATAAAAATTATAATTTGAAAACCTCCAAAATCAATGGATGTTGTAGTTTCATTGAATTATATTTTAATCTAATAGCACCAATCTCTAAAGTATGAATTTGACTTAGTTTTTTCATGAAGTTCCACCTTCAATTGTATAACTATTATTGGAGTCAAAAAACTCTGTAAATTCTATTTATAACCATATATATATAATACTTTCATATACTTATATTATCAATAATAATTAGAAATACATTCCAAGCTATAATCTTCATCACATTTATTGAACTTTTGTCTATGTTAAAGAAAGTTTTTCAAGTTGGTAATATCATAATATATGTAACATTCACAATATATCCAAATAATCAGCTACATACATACTTGTGACATTGAATAGTCAAAGCAAATATTTATATGATTAAACAATGATCCTTCATCAACTCTTCGAATACAACTCCAATGAATTTGCATTCTCAAAATTACATTCCTAGTAGTATTAAAATCACAATGAATGCAAATATACCACAACCACCCTTACAAAGTTTGTACCTCTATATTTGAGAGAATCAATATTAGAAGCTAATGATATATGCTTTATTTAGAATAAAAAATACTTATATCTATGCTTACCAACTTCATACCTATTAATCAAACCCTTTTGTAATTAGTATTTGAAAATATAAGAACTGTATGTAGAATTCATTAAAATATAATAATCTCTTTTTAGTAAATATAATTATGGATTATCAAACATATATTACTTTAAACATGCTATAAAAACTTTAGTTTTCATTACTACCAAATACAAAGGTGAGAGATTATATTTCAAGTGAAAAAATTGCAATTGCCCGCCCACAAAGACTAAAAAAGATGGTGTTGTGGTTTGGCTACTAATTGAAAATAATGTGTTTATATATTTAATGTATAATTGACTAAGTAATATGGTAAAAATTATAGTAGTGGATTTTTAATTAGTTGTAGAATGTGATTAGATTACTACCTTAAAAGAAGGTTGTTTAAAAGGACTACTATTAGAATTTGTATAACTTTATTTTCTTTTGATAGTCAATTTTAAAGTTGATTTTGTTGGTAAGAACTTTTACACATTTAGAGATACATTTGTTAGACATTAATGATCCTTAAAGTCTTATTTTGGTTCTTTTATTTGATATTTAGAAAACATATTATAAAAAACTTATAAAAAAAAAGGTTGAAGAAGTATTTTGGAAGCAAAAAGAATAATTAGGGCATCTATATAGATGAATGGAAATGGATGATGAAAATCTCCATTCTTATTGGCCAAAAATCATGCCCAATGGACTTCAAGGAGGTTGCTTGAGGCCTTATTAGAAATTAGGATTATTCTTTTGAAGGCATTTGAACTTTGAAGGCTAAGATCAACAAGTTTAGATTTTTGGCCATGATTTTGGTGTATATTTTGAGTGATTTGGAGTTTTTATAAAAGAAATATAAGAGCTCAAAGTTATGGTATTGATTTTGTATCTACTATCATTCTCTTGAACATAATGCACATGTACAAAAAGTAAATAAGGATTGGTAACTAGGATTGGAGAAAACACTTTTTCAGTTATATTTTTTGTATATTGCTTAATGAATTCTAAGTTGGAATGAAAGAGGTATTAGAAGTTGAAGTTAGTACTTGCAATCTAAAGATAAGAAGTATTCCAATTTATTAGTGGTTGTAATTTAAGTTATATCTTGAGCAATTTAAAAATATTTTGTCTTAAAATTTTTGTGTGTATTTTTATGTTACTAAAATTTATATACAAATCTTGTAGTATTTGGATCTTAGGTTTTTGAAATATGAAGAAAATAGTACTCAGATGCTTATAAATTGGAGTTTAGTGCACCTACTAGGATTTTTAAGATGCCAGAGGATTGGCAATGAATTTGTAATTAATTTTTTTTTTACTAAAGTTTAAGGATAAATGCTATATTAGATGTGAATTTGAAAAAAACTACATGGTTGGATCAAAAAATATGAAGTTCTAAAATTTGGAAAGAAGAATTTTTTTATTGGAAAATATG